ATGCAGTTGTGAGCACCGTCGCTGTATGCACCGCATTCGGAGGAGCTCCCCGTAGGGCCACGAAACGTGTGAGAGGTGTGCCAAAATCTGCCCGGTGGGCGCATGCGAAAGCAGCCACTGAGGCTGTCGGTGGAGCACCCTATGGGGCCACGAAACGCGTGAGAGGTGTGCCGAACTAGGTGCGGTGGGCGCATGCAACGCAGCCACTGGGGCCGTCGGTGAAGCTCCCTATGGGGCTGCGAAACGTGTGATGGGTGTGCCGAACTGTGTGCGGTGGGCGCATGCGGACGCAGCCACTGGCGCCTTCGGTCAAGCTCCCTCTGAGGCCACGAAACGCGTGAGGGGTGTGCCGGAATGGGCGTGGATGACGCATGCGGGCGGTGGCACCAGGACCTTCGTTGGAGCCCCCTATGGGGCCACGAAACGTGTGAGGAGTGTGACGACACGGGTGCGGGTGATGCATGCGGGCGGTGGCATTGGGGCCTTCGGTGGCGCTCCCTATGGGGCCACGAACTGTGTGAGGGGTATGCCAGAATGGGTGGCGATGACGCATGCAATCGCTGCCACTGGAGCTTTCGGTGGAGCTCCCTATGGGGCCACGAACCGTGTGAGGGGTGTGCCGGAATGGGCGGCGTTGACGCATGCAACCGTTGCCACGGGGGCCTTCGGTGGAGCTCCCTACCTGTGGGGCCACGAACCGTGTGAGGGGTATGCCGAAATCCGTAGCGTTGACGCATGCAGCCGCTGCCACTGAAGCCTTCGGTGGAGCTCCCTATGGGGGCCACGAACTGTGTGAGGGGTGTGCCTAAATGGGTGGCGCTGACGCATGCAACCGCTCCCACTGGAGCCGTGGAGCCTTTTGTGGAGCCACGAGCCGTGTGAGGGGTGTGCCGAAACAGGTGGCGGTGACACGTGCAACCGCTGCCACTGGAGCCTTTTGCGGAGCTCCCTATGGGGGCCATGAACCGTGTGAGGGGTATGCCGAAATGGGTGGCGCTGCCGCATGCAACCGCTGCCACTGGAGCCTTCGGTGGAGCTCCCTATGGGGGCCACGAACCGAACCGTGTTAGGGGTATGCCGAAATGGGTGGCGCTGACGCATGTAACCGCTGCCACTGGAGCCTTCGGGGTGTGCCGAAATGGGTGGCGCTGCCGCATGCAACCGCTGCCACTGGAGCCTTCGGTGGAGCTCCCTATGGGGGCCACGAACCGTGTGAGGTGTGTACCGACATGGGTGGCGCTGACGCATGCAACCGCTGCCACTGGAGCCTTCGGTGGAGCTCCCTATGGGGCCACGAACTGTGTGAGTGGCGTGACAGGAGGCTGACGATGTCGATGTTGATGACGCCGATGATGGCGATGGTGATCACGATGATGACGATAGTGATGGCGATGACGGCACGCGGAGAGCAGAGGCAGGGACGGGAGAAGGGAGGAGGGGGAGGAAGGAGGCGGGAACGCGGGGCGCCTTCTTGTCAAAACGAGGACCCAACACCACAGGATGGTTGGAAGAAATAGTCTGGGAACGATTCTTATTATGTTTGGTTATTTTCGAATATGTTCTGAATATGTGTTATTTTCCGTCCAAAATCCGCTGGTAGGAGGACATGCCCGACCTAACCCTGGGACCGTGAAGAAGCAACTCGGGATCAAGAGCTGGCCCGGGAAGGGGGTCCATTCCAGGACTCCGCGCCGAGAAATTCAAGGCATCGGATGTCTGCGGGGATCCGCGAGGCGACTTCGGGGGGAAGTTGGCCTTCGTCGCCCGGAAGAGCTCCAGCTGCGCCCCTCGGCGCGGCGGCAGCGCCGGCGCGGGCGTTCTGGGGCCGTCTTGGCTTGGCGGCGACGCCTGCGCGGGCGCTCAGGGCTTCAACGCCCCACAGGGAGGGCCTGTCTCGGCGAGCGAGGCACCTCGGGGCCGGAAGGGCTCGGCGGTTTTCGCGCCTCAGAGTTCGGGACGATCGAAGCGGGTACGGAAAGATTGGGCACAAAGACAAACAGCAGTTCTTGTTCATTTTGAACGTCAGTGTCTGCCATTGCCTGGCTCACTAGCGCGCGCGTGCGGATCGCCTCTGCCGCGCTGCGACGTAAAGAGGTCATCTTGACCAGGACTCGTCGGTGTCGCCGCGGACGCTACTCATTTGATACGGAAGGCCGCCTGCCCAGCAGCGGTCCGCGTTGGCAAACATTTTCGATTGGACATCGTACCCATGTTTGTCCGTACCTACTTCGGTTAAGTCGGGCATGTCCCTCCACAGGAGGAATATTCAAGAATAGGGAAACTGTATGGTGACGGTTCTGGTTCTTGCTCATTTGACTATGCTTGATAATTTGTTGACATGTTTTTCCATTTGTCTTCCAGGACCCGTACCCAGACCCGATAAGTGGAGTTTACTAAACGGCCCTGGGCGTTTACTAACAGCCCTGCCCTGTTTGGTTCCTTCGTTGGGCGCGTTGACCAGACGACTTCGCGTGTCGGGGTGATTGTTGTGACGGTCGATTCTCTGCTCTCTGTGTAGGAGGACCTCCCCCTTCAGCTCCAGGGAGGGGAGGGGGGGGAGGGGGCCGGGACCTCCGCGACCGCGCGGCCGGACGCAGCTCGAAGAGCCTGGGCGGAACGGGGTCCGCGGGAGGGGGCCGGGAGTCGGCCTCGAGCGAAGATGGCCCTCGGCAGGCCCTGGAGTGGAGCTGCAGTCGGACCGAGGTGTGATATTCGAGGGAGAAGAAACGGCATAAACAAACACAAATTGGTTGGCGCTCCGCGCGGATTTCTTGGATTTGCGCTGGGTGCCCCAGGGGGCGCCTCCGGCGCCGCCCCTGGCGCGCTCCGCGCGCCAGGGAGAGGGGTCCAGCGCAGATCCAAGAAATCCGCGCGGAGCGCCAAAAGTTTATGTGTATGTCGTTTTTCTCCTTTTTCCAAAGATCGAGGTCGGCTCGGGGAGGGTACCCTGATGTTCTTCATGATGGTGGGACGTTCTCGTGCATCCTGGGGGAGGGCGCCCTCGAATGTGTTCTTCAGCTTTGGCCAACGGAGGTTCTCATGATCTTGAACGATATTCTTTCTGTCCTAGGTCCGGCTGCACAGTCAACCCGCATAGTAAGGATGAGCATTATTCCCAAGGATGCCCTTGCATCCCTGCCCCTTCGGCCCATCCTTAGCGACTCTCGCTGGCCAACCTCGTTCGATAAACGCTAACGCGGCCCTCCAAGGCCCTTGCATCCTTACCGCGCATCCTTACTATACTTAAGTCGGGCCTGCCCTCCTCCTCCTTCCTCCTCCTCCTCCTCCTCCTCCTCCTCCTCCCTCCTCGCCTATCCTCCTCCTCCTCCTCCTCCTCCTCCTCCTCCTCCTCCTTCCTCCTCCTCCTCCTCCTCCTCCTCCTCATCCTCCTTCTCCTCCTCCTCCTCCTCCTCCTCCTCCTCCCTCCTCCTCCTCCTCCTCCTATGCCCGACCTTCTATTATACGGGTTGCCTGGTGATGGCGAGCGAGGGGGCCTTCGGCGCGTGAGGGCGCAGGCTGTGCGGCCCGCTCGCGCCGCCCCGGCGCGGCGGCGACGCGGGCCTGCACGGGCGCTCGACGGGCGCAGCGCCCCCCCTGAGGGGTCCCAGGACCCAGGCTTACACATTGTTCATTTCTAAGTATTCGAGGTCTTTGATTTTTGTGGGGGGGGGGCCAAGATCCTTTCATTTCTAATTATTCTATCCTGGGCCTCTTCCTGGCCACTAGGGGGTCAGGAACAAATAGAAACGAGCACAATTAGAAATGAGCACGATTAGAAACGAACGACGTGTGCGTCGGGCATGCCCCTCTACAGGAGGAGTAGATTCAAGCATGTAGGCACAAAAATCATATGTGGCGACGATTTGTCGTGCTCGCGTGACGATCTCTGCTCATCTTTTGACTGTTGTTTGCCTGTTTTCCACAAGTCGCCTGCAGGAGGACGTGCCCGACCTAACCCCTGGGCCTCAGCGCCTGCAGAAGACAGCCCACGGCGCGGGCCCCGTGCGAGAGGTGGGCTCGAGAGCCCTTGGGGGCCCCCTCGGCCACGCGCAGGAGGGGGGGGGGGGGCAGGGGGGAGGGGGGAAGGCTCCTCAGAAGCACCCCTGCTTCTCAGAAAGCGCGGGCACTGTTTGCGCGTCTTGGAAAAAATCAAGACGGAGGTGCTTCGCAGTCTTCGGCCTCTAGGGGCCCTCGCCGGGCCCCAGGAGCGTTAAAAAACGACTCAGGATGAAAAACCGGTCACGGGGAATGGATCGAGACGTCCGGGGAACCCTTTATTGAAAAAACACGACATCCGATCTATGGATTTGTCGACCTATGTGAGGCCCGAGCCTTCTAAGAAGCAGCCTCCTTCTAGGAAGCCTCCCCCCTTGTGCGCGCTGCCAACCCCCGAGGGCGGAGGTCGTTCAAGGTCGGATGGCTCGCCCAGCACTGTCCGACACCGAGGCTCACCTCGTCGAGGAGGCAGGGACTCGCCGCGTACCCAAAGCCCCGCGGCGTGTCGTTCGACCACATCGTTGACCTCAGAGATCTCGACCCATTCCACAGGACCGCCTCCTCCTCCTCCTCCTCCTCCTCCTCCTCCTCCTCCTCCTCCTCCTCCTCCTCCTCCTCCTCCTCCTCCTCCTGGCGGGCTGTGGGCGTTCTAGGAAGGCGCGCAGGGAATTGTTGGGCAAATACCTCGAGTTGTACAGGATCCCGAGTTCTGCGGAGCGGCATGCCTCTTGCATTCCGCCACGGTGTGGTGGCGCGGCCAAGTCCGCCAGTTCGGCTCGTGGACATCCGGCGGAGGCCCCAGCGCCGTGGGTCGTGGACGCCATGCACCAGGCGACACGTATGCCGCGGGCCGAGGGCTCCTCTAGCCCCATCCCCCACGGGCGTCGCATGTTCGAACGATCGGGAAAGCGGCAGCCAAGATTCTGAGCGGGAGGAAGGAGAAGAGCGGACTCTCCCTGGAAGGCGCGGAAGGCGCTGCGGAAGGTGCGCCGACTTGCTGCCTGATGTGTGTCTGCCTGGTGGGGGGCCACAAGCCGGAGGACGCCCTGGGGTGCGAAGACACTTTCGAGGGCTGCTTCGACACGTGAGCCTCGTATACGGCATACCGCGAGGAGAACTTGGTGGAGGACCTCGCGCCGCAGGACGCCCTGCAGTGCGCGCACGCGTCCGAGGGGTGCTTCGACGCCGAGGAGAGCGGCGATCTGGAGATGGATTGCCCCGCGGCCACGAGCTGAGGAGGGAGCTCCAGCTGTGCCGTGGAGGGCTTGGCGATCGAGGGCATCGTCGACGGGGGCCTGGACACAAGCTACCTGGACAAGGAGAGCGCAGACACCTGCGGGGAGCCCCTGGACAGCTCCCGATTCGAGGACGGCGACCTCAAGTACCTGGAGAAGGAATTCCCCACGTCCACGGGCGATGGATGGGGCACCGGCTTCGTCGAGAAGAGCTTGGCGCCCGAGTTCGTCGTCGATGGAGGCCTGGACCCAAGCTACCTGGACAAGGGGAGCGTCGACACCTGCGGGGAGCCTCTGGTCAGCTCCCTGGCGAAGGCGGCGCCGTGCAAGAGGGGTTGCGAGGACCAGGGCGTCGTAACGCGCCGCCCCTCGCGCTGCAGTTGGGCGGACGAGGTGGACGAGCCTGACTTCGGGGAGTTCCTGGCTTCCCTTGGGCCGACAACCCGTGCCGGGCGTGCTCAGACGAGCAAAGGCCGTCGCTCGCGCGAGGGCGGCGGCTCGCCTGCTCGCGAGGCCCGCGCGTCCGCGCGGAGCTGGGCTGGGCTGGCCTGTCCCCGCCTCGGTGAATGACCCGGCTCGGATACGGGCGCTCCCAGCAAAGGGAAGGGAGAGGCGCCGCGAGCGGAAGGCGGGTGCGAGGGCGCCGCCACCAGTCCCCGTGCGCCGAAGAACCGTGCCGGGCGTGCTCAGGGAAGCATGCGCCGTCTCTCGCGCGAGAGCGGTGACTCGCCTGCACGCGAGGCCCATGAATATGTGCCGCGCTGGGCGGAGGCTGACACCCGCAGCGTCGGGGTTCCCAACCAGAGGGCGGAGGAGGCGCCGCGGGCGGAGGGCGGGCGTGACAGCGTCGCCGCCCTTGCCCGTGCGCTGGCGGATCGCCTCTAAGCGGGAGCGCTGCCTGCTGGCCTCGAGGAGGAGCGGAGCGTCTTCTTTGAGGCGTCCGCCCAGTACGACTTCGCGGCGATGACGGCGGCCATCGGCGAGGCGCGGTGTGAGGAGCTGCGCGCGCTGCTTTGAGGCCGCCTCCTATTCGTTTCTTCGAGTTTCTCTCGATCGCAGCGGGCGCGGTGCCTAGGGGCCGAAGCGCCTTAGGTGCAGGCGTCGTTCGCCGCGCGAATTCGTTTCGATGCCGCGTCGGCCGTCACGGCTATGTGCCGGTGCGGCCGCCGCGGGCTTGTTTTTCGGCACCCTGCGTGGGCTGCCCAGGCGGTGGGTGCCAGGCTTTGGACGCGCGGACCTCCCTCCTCCCTTTCCTCCTGCAGGAGTTGCGCACCTCCTCCTCCGCTGTTTTTCTTTATAAGCAATTCCTCCCTGTCGCACCCCGAGGCCAATCGAAAGGGCGGGCGGGTTTTTTTCGCATGAGATTTCCTCACCATTTATCCTCTTGAGGCTTCAAAATCGGTAACAGCTTCGCAGGTGGAGGGCGGAGTAGGGTTCAAAATGCGGTTCTCGCATTAGCGCTGGGCACATTCGTTTAAGAGAATACGCCAGAGCTTAGCAAATTGAGGGCGGGTGGTCTTCAAAATGTGGCTCTCGCCTTAGCCCCACAATCATATGATTTAGAAGGTTACACAAGGGTTTCACGAATCGAGAACGGGCGGTTGTCAAAATGCGGTTCTCGCCTGAGCGACGCGCACACTCATTATGAAAAGCTGCAAAGGCTTAACGGATTGAGGGCAGCTCTTTTTCAACATGTGGCTCTCGCATGAGCGTGCCGCACTTTCGTTTTATAGTATTGCAAAAGGTTCGCGGATTCACGTCGTTCACGTACCAGAAATTGTTTTCTGGATCGGTTCACGACGATCAGGGCGCAGCAGTTCCGTTGATTCGCGGCGATGAAGTCCCAGGAATGGTGATTTGACACGGTTCAGAATCGTCAAGACGCAATAGCCAGGTTGATTAGCGGCGGTGAAATAATGAGAATGGTGTTTTGGCACGCTTCAGGACCTTCAGACAGTTGTCCCCCAACGAGGCCTTTCTTTCAGTGGAAATGAATTTCCTGAGGGGCCTATGACCAGGGAATTTGTGCGGGGGGGTTTCCGACATCGTTCATGGGCCTTGGGTTCACATTGGTCCTTTTTTTCTTTCTCCTCGTCCTCTTCCATTCCTTTTCCTGATAAATAGTTATTCCCTGTCGCACCCCGAAGCCGGTCGAAACGGCACGCTGGGCGTTTCGCATGAGACTTTTTTCGCCATCTCTCACCCTGAAGCTTCAAAACTGGCCACAGCTTCGCGTGTGGAGGGCGGGGGGGGTCAAACTGTGGTTCCCGCTTTAGTGTTGCGCACATTCGTTTGAGAAAATACGTCAGAGCTTAGCAAATTGAGGGCGGGCGGCTTTCGGAATGTGACTCTCGCTTTAGCGCCGCGCACATTCGGCTTAAAAGTTTGCAACCGCTTCAATCATGGAGGGCGGGTGGTTGTAAAAATGCGGTTATCACTTTAGCTCCGCGCTCAATCGTTTTAAAGTTTGCAACAGTTGCATGGATGGAAGGCGGCTCCTTTTCGGAATGTGGTTCTCGCCCAAATTCCGCGCACATTTGTTTCAAAAGCTTGCAACAGCTCCAAGGATGTAAGGCGGCTCATTTTCAAAATGTCGTTCCCGCTTTAGTTATGTGCACATCCGTTTTCCAAAGTTCGTAGCAGCTGCAAGGATGGAGAGCGGCCCCTATTCAAAACGTGACTCTCGTGTCAGCGCCGCGCATATTCGCTTCAACAGCATGAAACAGCTTCGGGGATTGACGGCTGCTGTTGTTCAGTATGTGGTTCTCGCTTCAGCGCCGCGTACATTCGTGTTGAAAGTGTGCGACAAGTTCACGGAATCGTAAATACTTGAAATCACTGGGATGGTGGTGTGGCACGATGTAAGATTTTCAAACCACAACGGCCGCGTGGACTCGCAGTGTTGAGTTTCCACTAGCGGATTTCTGGCATGATTTAGGATTTTCAGGACGCAACAGTCACGCTGATTCGCGGCGCTGAAGTCCCAAGAATTGTCCTGGCACGATTGATGATTTGTGGACTTTTGTTTCCCAAGAGGAAATTTCCCGCAATGAAAACAGTTTCTTGTAAAGACTCACGCAGAAGGAACTCGGAAGGAGGGTTTATGGTAACATCAGTGGTGCCTCTTGGGTTTACAGTGGTCCCTCCGCCTCCTCCCTTCTCCCTCCTCCCCCGAGGTCGTCCGAGGTGCGAGCAGCCACGAGCCAGGGCCCAACCAGCCAGATCGAGACGGCAGGCGTTCCGCTTTCTTTTCGGCTGTGCCAGTCCCGGGCCCCGGGGCGACGAAGGAGCGGAGCATGCTGAAGAAATTGCTTGGGTCGGGAGGTCGGGGGGCTCACGTTTCGGAGAAGTGTCGAGCCGTTGGGTGTCTGGGCCCGCGAGCCCCCCGACACTTCGCGTCGGCCCCGCCCAGAGCGGCGCGGCTCGCTGGCGGCCCAGCCCGGCGGCCAGACCCGGCAAGCGCGCGCTCGCCCCGCGCCCAGCCATTGTTTAGTGCAGTGCAGTGTGGCATATATTGAAGCAGAGAGTACCATCGATACATGTCGCCATCCTGCCCTCACTATTGCCATTCGACCCCTGCCCCTCCCCCCTGCTCCCTTCCCTCACCCCGCTTCCCTCCTCATCCTTCCCCTCCTCATTCTCTTCCTCCTCATCATCCTCCATCCCTCTCCTTGGAAATAACTCCTCCCTGTCGCACACCCAGACGTGTCGGTAGGCCAAACCGGGCATGTCGCCTGAAACTTCCCAAACATCTGAGATCTTGAAACTTAAAATGAGCAAACGGTGCAAGGTTGGAGCACGGGTGGTTTACAAGATGGGGCTCTCGCACTAGCGCCGCGTACATTCGCGCCGAAAGCGTGCAACAGTAACATAAGGACGAGGCACAGGTGGTCTTAAACAGGGCTCTCGCATTGGCGCAGTGCATATTTGTTGTCACAGGCTGCTGTAGTTACGAAGATGGAGCACGCGTGTCGGCGGCGAGCCCAGAGGGGGAAGGGAAAAGAGGCGGGCATTCTCAGAAGGCTCGGAAGTCCCCCAGCATTCTGAGGAGTTTGCTACGCCCTCCCCGAAGACAAACAAACACTTCTCAGACGGCGCGAGGGCGTCTGAGAAGTCCCGCCGCCTTCTGAGGAGGCCTTCTCCTTCTCACTTCCCCCCCTCGCTCGCCGCCGAACGTGGGTTTAAAAGTGGGGCGCTCGCCTTCAGCGCCGCGCACGTTCGTGCTGAGAGGCTGCAGCAGCTACGAGGACGGAGCACGGGCAGCGCTTTCCAGACGGGGCTCTTGCCGTCGCGCCGCGCACATGTGTTGTTCAAGCCTGCAGCACTCGCTCGAGATTTTATGAAGGTTGACAGACTAGAAACCTCAAGAGGAGGAGGAGGAGGAGGAGGAGGAGGAGGAGGAGGAGGAGGGAGGAGGGAGGAGGAGGGAGGAGGAAGAGGAGGAGGAGGAGGAGGGGGAGGGTGGCTCCTTTTCACAATGGGGCTCTCGCTCGAGACTTCCTCCGAGGTCTTGGCCAGAAGTGCAAGCCCCTGCAACAGCTACTCAAATTGGGGGGCGGCCCGGTGCCAAAGGGGGGATCTCGCTGGACACCTCGCTGAATTGTGTGATAACACCTGGTTCGCATGCTTGCTTGCACGCTCGAAGCAGGGAAGGAAGCTCCTTTTCAACACCAGACTGCAGGCCCATGGGTTAGGGTGCTGGTATTTTGAGGGGGCTTTTTTTGTAGTGATAAAGGGGTGCTTGTAGGGACTGACTTATGAGGGGAGAAGTTGGGAAGGAAGGGTGCATTGCAGCATTGTTGATGCATCGTGGGGTAACTCATGTCCTACTCCTCCTCCTCCTCCTCCTCCTCCTCCTCCTCCTCCTCCTCCTCCTCCTCCTCCTCTTCCTCCTCCTCACCCTCCTCCTCCTCCTCCTCCTCCTCCTCCTCCTCCTCCTCCTCCTCCTCATCCTGCTTCTCCTCCTCCTCGTCCCCCTCCCCCTCCTGGCAGTGGCACCTTTTGACTCCTGGCTGCGGCGGGTACAGGCCATCCTGAATTTCGTGCGTGACAAGACTGGAGACGCCAGCAACTTCACAGGCGCTTGGCCAGGCCTCAATGATCTGTTGAATGCTGAAGCCCACCCAGCTCATGTCGGGTTGGTGCATGCTGTGAGCAGAGCGTTGGCTTCCGACCCTATGGGTCAGAAGCGCGACTGCGAGCGGATCGACTTCGATTTGGGGAAGATAGTCAAGCGCATACAGGAGGAGCTTGACAAGCTAGTGACTGCCGACATCGATGGCAAGTTGAAGGCCTTGTCGACGGAGGGCGAGGCGAGATTCGACACGTTCAAGATAAACGTGGAAGAGTTGGAGATCGCAGCCGAAAGCCAGCAGCAGCAACAGCAGCTGCCGATGTCCACGACCGTGCTGAGCGACAAGCTGGCGCTCGTGGATCAGATGCAGCAACCGCAGCAGGAGCAGCTGCAGCAACAACAGCTCCAGCAGTTGGTGATGCACCAAAAGCTCTACAGCGACCAGCAGAATTACACAATCTACCTGAAGGCGCAGCTCATGACTCTGAGCGATGCGGTGCTCAGCCGCGAAAAGTAGAGCGGTTAGTTAATATTCTCGGATATTTCCCCCCTCACCCGCTCCCCGTGCCCTCCCTGTTCCTCCTGCCTCCTCTTTTCGTATGTCACAACATGCTTGGTAGCAGTAGCTTGTGGGAACAGGGGCTGGTTTGACATTGAGATGGGGAAGGGGCGGGGAAAGCGAAGGCTAGTAGTAATCCTTGCAGCTTCCCGCAGCCCCTCCCTCCAATGGGAGGCAAAGGTGGGCTGACAGGCACTAGCACTGAAGATGGCGAAGACCAGCGTGCAGAGGAGCCCCGAGAACGGAGCTTGTGGCGGTGCCCTGCCCGAGGCTTCGACAGGGCCCAGCGCGGGGGATAGGCGGGGGTTGTCCCCCCCGTGCTCCTCTCCACGCGGGGTCCTGACCACTCCGGGTATTTTTCCTCCCTCAGTGCCCCAGCTTCCACACCGAACGAAGTGATCTATCAATCCTCCTCCTGCTCCTCCTCCTCCTCCTCCTCCTCCTCCTCCTCATCATCATCATCATCATCATCATCATCCTCATCCTCATCCTCATCCTCATCCTCATCCTCATCCTCCTCCCCCTCCTCCTTCTCCCACACGTGCTCCCCCTCCTCACGCTCCTTTCCCCTTACCCCACTCCCTCGTGCGCCTCCCCCTCCCCATCGCCATGATGATCCTCCTGCTCCTCTCATTCCTCATCCTCCTCCCCGCCTCCCCACCTTATCCCACCCTCCACCCCACCCCCGTTCCTCTCCCTCACGCCCCCATGCCCGCCTCCCCCTTCATCATCCTCGATGCCGCCGCCGTCAGCGCTGCTGCCGCCATCGCCTCCGCCGCCGCGCTCGCCGTCGCCCTCGCCCTCCGAGCAGAGGCCTCGGCACGGCCGCCTCCGCCGCGCGGGCGGCGGCGGCCGACGACCCCTGGCGCGAGCACGGCGCCGTCCAGGCGCCTCGCGGTCGCCTCGGGGCCCGCGGAGGTGCCATCCAGGGGCTCAGGCTCTCGGGCCACCGTCGAGGGCCCGGGCTCCAGCTCGGGCCCCTCGAGAGGCCCCCCATCGAAGGCCCAGGCTCGAGCTCGGGCCCCTCGAGGGGCCAGGGTGAGCCGCTCCAGAGCGCTCCAGGAAGGAAGGAAGGAAGGAAGGAAGGAGGAGAAGATGAAGGTGGGAGGAGGAGAAGATGAAGGAGGAGGGAGGAGGAGGAGGAGGAGGAGGAGGAGGAGGAGGAGGAGGAGGAGGAGGAGGAGGAGGAGGGAGGCAGGAAGAGGGGATGAGGGTGGAGGACAGGGGAGGACGGCACAGAGAAGGCCACCTTGGGAGGGCCGTTGGAGCCCCCTCCCCCCCACCACCCTTCATCACTCCCTCACTTCCCCCCTTCCTCCCTCCCTCCTCCCCTCTCACTCCTCCACACACGTCCGACTTCACATGCCGTTCGCAACAGGGCCCCCCAGACCTCTCGACCCAGTCCTTGGGACTGGTTCCGCGCCCCGGGTCGACGGCGGCGTGGCCGACCGCGTGAAGGCGGGCGCGCCCTCGCTTGCCGCGGCTGGGCGGGAGCCCGCGCGCCCTCCGCGGTCGTCTCCCCTCCTCGATCGTTCGACCCAGTCTTAAGTCGGGCCCGTTCCTCCACAGGAGGAATGTTCAAAAATTGTCAAAAAATAGTCAGGGACGATTTTTAGTATTGCTGATCATTGTTTGCGCATGTTTTGACTATTTTTAATTTTCCGTCCAAAATCCGCCTATAGGGGGGCACGCCCGACCTAAACCCAGTACCAGGGATTGGTCCTGGTGCCCGAGATGGGCTCCCAGAGGCCCAAGCTTGGAAGCGGTTGCCATCCTGACCTTTCTCGTGGCGACGGAGCTATGGGCCCCCTCGAAGGGTCGGTGGGGCCTGAGGCTCTGAAGCTCCGGGGTCTGAGCAAGTCAAACAGCAGAAGGTGGATTGTTGGGCTGCCGTCTTGCTAAATCCGCAGCGCGGCTTGGTGGCCACCAGAAGGGGGAGCGGCGGATCTGAACGAGCTGCACCTCCTGATGAAAGGCTACGACCATGCATTTCACACCTCGGCTTTTTCGTGGCGGCGAAGTATGGGCCCTCCTTCCTGGAAGACCCCCGAGTGCCACCAGGTCGGCGCCACGGGCGCTCCACGATGGGGGCGGCGACGGCGGCGGCGGCGGCAACGACGACGAAAACGACGACGACAACGACGAAAGCGACGACGAAAACGACCACGAAAACGACCACGAAAACGATGACGAAAACGACGACAAAAAAACGACGACGGGAACGACGACGAAAATGACCACGAAAACGATGACGAAAACGATGTTGAAAACGTCGACGACGACGAAAACGACGACGAAAACGACCACGAAAACGACCACGAAAATGACCACGAAAACGACCACGAAAACGACGACCAAAACGACGACCAAAACGATGACGAAAACGACAACGAAAACGATGTTGAAAACGACGGCGACGACGACGACGAGACGACGACGACGACGACGACGACGACGACGACGACGACGACGACGACGACGACGAAAACGACGACGAAAATAACGACGAAGACGACGACGACGACGACGAAAACGACGACGAAAACCACAACGACAACGATGGCGAAAACGACGACGAAAACGATGACGAGAACGACGACGACGACGACGACGACGACGACGACGACGACGACGACGACGACGACGACGACGACGACGACGACGACGACGACGACGACGGCGACGACGGCGGCGGCGGCGGCGGCGGCGGCGGCAGCGGCGGCGGCGGCGGCGGCGGCGACGACGACGACGACGAAGACGATTACGACGAAAAGACGACGTAAACGACAAGAAAAAATCGACGCCAGACAAACGACGACGAAAACGACGACGAAAACGACAACGAAAACGACGACGAAAACGACGACGACGACGACGACGACGACGACGACGACGACGACGACGACGACGACGACGACGACGGCGGCGGCGGCGGCGGCGGCGGCCTCAGCGGCGGCGACGGCGGCGGCGGCAACGACAACGACAACGACAACGACAACGACAACGACGACGACGACGACGACGACGACGACGACGACGACGACGACCACGACGACGGCGGCGGTTGCGGCTGCGGCGGCGGCGGTGGCAGCAGTAGCGGCAGGACGTCGATTGCGACGGCGGCGACGGCGGCGGCGACGACAGCGGCAGGCGCTACACCGCACGGCCTCGGGCATTGTGGACCTCGCTGGCCGCGCCGCTGCGGAGGTCCACCAGCGCGCGGAGTGCGCCGAGTTGGAGGCCGAGCGTTTGCACAGGCGCGGTGGGGGGTGGGACCTTACTGACGACGACGGCGGCAACGACGACTGCGGCGACGGCGGCGACGACGACGGCGACGCCGGCGACGACGGCGTCAGATCGAGCCTCTAGGTTCGAGGGCCGAGGTTGTTGGACGTCTTAAAGCCCTTCATCGAATGGCCTTCGGCCCGTCCCGCCGCCGCGCCTGAGCTGTGGGTACGAAGCCTGTTGGATGTTCATTGGGATCTCGTGGGAGGCCTCTCGGGGGCCACTTGGGGGCAGGCTTGAGGCCTCTTGGAAACAATTTTGAAGCCTCTCGGGGCCTCTTGTGGGCCTCTTGGGGGCCTCCTGGGGCCTCTTGGGGCCTCTCGGGAGCCTCTTGGGGCTTCTTGGGCACCTCTTGTGGCCTCCTGGGGGCCTCTCGTGGCGGAATGCTCGCATGCTCGTTTCGTGTTCCCTCTCTTGGGCCCTTTTTGGGGCCGTCTTGCCATTTTGGGCGCCTCACGGGCCGTCCTGGGGCGCTCTGACGCCGTTTGGGGGCCCTCTTGGAAGCCTATTGGGCCGTCTTGGGGTGGTTGTTGATGCCTATTGGGCAGTCTTGGAGTGTCGGAACCGAAAAGGCGAGAACGCCCAAATCGCTCAAAAACCTCAGGAAAATCAATGATGTGTACCTCGTGGGGCCCTCTTGGAGGCCTCTCGGGGCGTCCTGGAGGCCTCTCGGCCCATCACGAGGCCATCTTGAGGCCATCTTGGACGTTTTGGAGCGAACTTTCAGCGATTCGGGGCCCTCTTGGACCGTCTTGGGGGCCTCGTGGGGCCCTCCTGGTCCGTCCTGAGGCCCTTTTGGGCCCGAAAAAGCCACGCGGGGAGACGCGACAAGCCCCCGACCAGACGCGAGAATCCCCCAGAGATTTTGCAATTTGGGCTCTGGGCCCCTTGCGGACTCCCCGGGAGTGGGTGGGGCTGCACTGGGTGGGGGGGAACGCCGCTGGAGCCGTCGGTGGAGCTGCCTGTGGGGCCACGAAACGCCGCTCTGGGTGTGTGTGTGTGTGTGTGTGTGTGTGTGTGTGTGTGTGTGTGCGTGCGTGTGTGTGTGTGTGTGTGTGTGTGTGTGTGTGTGTGTGTGTGTGTGTGTGTGTGTGTGTGTGTGTGTGTGTGTGTGTGTGTGTGTGTGTGTGTGTGTGTGTGTGTGTGTGTGTGTGTGTGTGTGTGTGTGTGTGTGTGTGTGTGTGTGTGTGAAAATACCACATTGAGTGTGTGGGACGCATGCGGACGGTCCCACTTGGGGGCTTCGGTGGAGCTCCCTATGGGGCCACGAACCGCTGTACTGGGTGGGTGAAAATGCCAAATTGGGCTTCCAGGACGCATGCGGACGGTCCCACTGGAGGTTTCGGTGGAGTTTCCTATGGGACCACGAAAGGCTGTACTGGGTGGGTGAAAATGCCAAAGTGGGCTTCCGGGACGCATGCGGGCGGTCCCACTGGAGGCTTCGGTGGAGCTCCGGCCGCGAAACGCTGTATTGGCTGTGGCAGACGCATGTGGCACCCCCCCTCTAGGGCCTTAGGTGGGGCTTCCTGTGGGGCCACGAAACGCTGTACTGGGTGTGGCAGACGCATGTGATACCCCCCGCTGGAACCTTAGTTGGAGCTCCCTATGGAAACGCCGTACTGGGTGTGGCGGACGCACGTGGTACCCCCCGCTGGGGCCTTCGGTGGAGCTCCCTATGGGGCCACGAAACGCCGTACTGGGTGTGGCAAACGCATGTGGTACGCCCCACTGGGGCCTTAGGTGGAGCTCCTTATGGGGCCACGAAACGCCGCACTGGGCGTGGCAGACGCATGTGGTACCCCCCCCCATTCCTGGGGCCTTCGGTGGAGCTCCTTATGGGGCCACGTAACGCTGTACTGGGTGTGGCAGACGCATGTGGTACCCCCCTCTGGCACCTTACGTGGAGCTCCCTATAGGGCCACGAAACTTTGTACTGGGTGTGGCAGACGCATGTGAGACGCCCCCCTGGCGCCTTCAGTGGAGCTCCCTATGGGGCCACGAAACGCTGTATTGGCCGTGGCAGTCGCATGTGGTACCCCCCCTGTGGGGCCTTAGGTGGGGCTCCCTGTGGTGCCACGAAACGCTGCATTCGGAGTGGCAGAAGCATGTGATACCCCCAGTGAGGGGGAGGGCACGAGAGGAGGAGAAGGAGACTCGGGGACCGTTTCTTCAAAACGAGGACCCAAAACCACACGATGGTTGGGAACAAAAAACGCTTGGTGTCGGCGATCGACGCTCTGTCCACACGCCACTTCCGACTTCAGACGCTTGGGGGGGCAGGGCAGGGACAAGAGCTCGGCGCCTGAGCCCGGAGTTCTGCTCATGCCCTCGCCCTGGCCCCTCGTGGGGCAGGGGCGGCAGCAGGGGCCACGGGCAGAGCGCCGATGGCCTGCCGTGACATCTGCGCGGCGCCCTGCGGGCCCGGCAAGGCCTTGCTCGAGGCGCGCCGTAGGGGGGGGGTGCTGGAGGCCTCCTTGGAGCCGCCCTCGCTGGCGGGCCCCCTTCCGCAGGCAAGCGCACGTGGGCTTCAGGGACGGCATGGGCCAGCTGGAGCAAGGCGCTCGGGACTTCCAGGAGGCGCCAGACCGCGCCGCCCTCCTCCGCCGCTGCCGCCTCCTTTTCTTCCTCCTCCTCCTCCTCCTCCTCCTCCTCCTCCTCCTCCTCCTCCTCCTCCTCCTCCCCCTCCCTCCTCATGATAATTACTTCATCCTTGTCGCACCCCGAGACTGGTCGGTAGGGCGGGCCAGGCGTTTCGCTTGAGACTTCCTCACCATTCATGATCCTGCAGCTTCACGGATGGTGGGCAGGTCGTTTTCGAAATGTGGTTTTCGCGTTAGCGCCACGCCAATTCGTTGTAAAGGTTTGCAAGAGTTTCACGGATTGAGGGCGGGTCGTTTTCAAGATGTGAGTATCGCCGTAGTGCCGCGCAAAATCTGTTAAAATTTCCAAAGAGCTTGACGCAAGGTTGAGGGAGGGCCGCTTTTAAGATTTGGTTCTCGTTTTAGTGCCGCGCACATTCGTCTTAAAAGTTCGCAAGAGCTTCACGGATGGAGGGCGTGTCGTTTTCAAGATGTGGTTCTCGCCTGTGCGCCGCGCAAATTCGTCTAAACAGTTTACAGCAGTTTCAAGGATATTGATGGCTGACGTCCCAGAATGTTGTGGCACGATTTAGGATTGCCAGGGCGCGACAATCACGTAGATTCGTGGCGTTGGCGTCCCAGAAGTGGTGTCCTGGTATGATTTAGGATCGTCAGGTCACAACAGTAACATTCGCAGCTTTGAAGTCCCAGGAGTGGTGCTTTGACACGGCTGAAGATTTTGCATACCGCGTTCTTCCAACGGGGCACCTCCCGTACCGAAGATAAATCCTTATGGGAGGCCTATGAAAGAAGAAATTCGGAGGAAGGTTACATTGCAACATCGTCGATGGGTCTTCGGTTTACACTGGTGGGGCTGAGGCCGGAGGCCCCCGCGGCGGCGGCCAGTGCTCTGGAGAGCGCGGAGTGCCAACGCCGCCGCCGCGGGGGGAGCGCGGAGCGCCGTTGTTGATGTTTCAGCTGCACCCTTTTGCAGGAGGTCCCCCCAAGACCTCATGCGAGGGGGGTCTCGATTTTGACCAAAGCCGGCCTCCATCGCCCAGGGATGGCCTGGGGTGAGGGAGGCTCCAATCGTCGCCGCGGTGCGTGCCTCGCAACTGCGGAGATCAGGCCTGCAACCTCCTCCTCCTCCTCCCCCTCCTCCTGCTCCTCCTCCTCCTCCTCCTCTTCCTCCTCCTCCTCCTCCTCCTCCTCCTCCTCCTCCTCCTCCTCCTCCTCCTCCCCCTCCTCCTGCTCCTCCTCCTCCTCCTCCTCCTCCTCCTCCCCCTCCTCCTCCTTCTCCTCCTCCTCCGAGAGCGGCGTCGCCATCCATTGGATTTGTCGGGCC